TTGCAGAAAAAAAGAACTATGAGCTTCTATTAGTGAAGCAGAAGCCTGAACTGTTAACACTCAGCGGTGTTGCTCTGCCCTCTGCAGACTAGATCGTATAATCACATTTTTACCCCAAATGACATACTTTTAAAGCGCACCTAACACAACAGAATAAAAAGTTGTCAATGTGAATTAAATGTGCATGGGCACTACCTTCTAACGGTGCGCTGTGACATTGCAGGTCGTAAGTAAGGTCAGTCAGGAGTGCTCCTGAGGCAGTGGTGTTTTCTGTGTGTTCTCACCGAGTCCACACTGCCCACTGAGTCTGGGAAGTAATTACTGCCTGAACAGCACCAACGCCTGGAGTCCAAATTCAGAATGGAGTATACGAAATATTTATGTCTGTGACTCTAATGTATACCACGCAGCATTTCTTCATGACGGAGAAACGAGATTTGTTCCGACTCCCAGACGTAGAGCAACTTCTTCCTGTTTTCTACAGCGAGATCCAGGGGATGGCAAATGCTGTGATTCCTTGATTGATCTCCCTCTTTTAAGTGACCAGTATGAAGCTTGTGAGAACCTGCCTTGACTGATACACAAAGGTACCAGCATCCCACTCTGCAAGAAGTTTAGCTATAAGCCACCTTCCACAGCAGCTGGCCCCGCCTTTTCTTCTAAGTAAACATCCAAGAAACGTCGTAAAAGCATCCACCTTTATGAGCTCTCTATAATTTAATGTGCTCTCCTCATGGTTATCTGGTAAAGAATGTTAAAGCTCATTTACTTCTCAGGTATTTGGTACACCCCCACTGATGTGAGAAAACATCCAAGTACTTACTGTTTCTTATGAGCTGGACAATGTTTTTGTATTAAGGGCGTTTCATAACCCTTCTGACAGAGAAAACTCGGTCCTACATCATTTTCGTAAGGCTTCTCTTGGATAGGAACAACACAATAGAATTTACACAACACACAGTTCAGATTTGTTCCAATTTTTCATTTTATTGAAGTGTTGACATTTGAAAAATCCTTTCCTCGAAGCACACGTGCCAAGTCCCAGGCAGCGTATGTGGCCCTCACAACTGCACAGCACCCAACACTCCTTCACTCCATCCCCTTCCAGGTTGGCCTGTCGGCGGTTATTGGGTGTCACACAGCAGACAAAACCGGTCAGGTCTTGTGCAAAAAGAGCCTGGCAGGAAGGAAAATTTGCCTACGCAGCTCCCAACACAGTCCCTCCCGTACTGTGTGACTACCGCATGTGCTGGTTACACGACCCAAAGACTCACACTTCAGGAAACAAGAGAAGTGAGCAGGCTTTCAGCAAGTGGCAGCTTCCAGTGCCTAGCATTTGCAGAATACCTTCAGTACAAAACTGAAATGGGTGTTCAGAAAAGCAAAATCTTTAATCAATTTTACACAGTGCAGAGCTTGCAATATGTAATGCTATTATGCTTCTTTAAGTTAAATTTTATGGCAGGGCAAGGTCTTTCATAATTACTCTTCTGAGCTATATTCAGCATCCTCCATAGTTCGCAGGTAAAACAAGTGAGATATAGTTAGAACAGCACATTAAAATTTGATAAAGAGAAGTTCTCAAAATGTACTATGTACATCAGAATTGGGTTCCTATCCAGAAGTACTGCAGGAACACAGATTTAGAAAAGTTGGTATGACATTAAACCACTGACTACATTTCCAAGTGAGTGCTTTTGTGTGGATTCTCATTTTGCCATCCTTCATTGCTTTTGTTTTGTTGAGGCATCTGCTACAGACTAATGCTGCAGGCTAGAAAATTTCCGAGCATATCACCCAAGAAAGCAAAAAACTGCAGGAAAACAATGGTCGCATTTATACTTAGCAAAACTGTTCTCCAGTACTTCCGTTTGACAACAGCTGAATGGCATTCTTAAACAAAATTCTTTACATAATCCCTGCTATCTCAGATAACCGACACGGAAATATCACTTAGGGTCTGGGCTACATCTTGAAAACCTTGTGCAGTCTTACAATACCTTCATCAAACGAGCATTCAAGCTCTAATTTTACCTTGCTTTAGATTCTTTTCATTTGAGGACTTTGGAGTGGTTTGTAACATGTAACTGAAGAAAGCAAAGGAAGGGAAATCAAATACTTAATAACACTCCTCTTTCCAACAAAATAATTATATTTAATGACACAGTAACTATTCCCAGATCTAGAAATATGCTGAATTGTGTAACAAAACCCAATACAATAAGCACTTTCTGCACATGTTTAAAATTCACTCGGACAAAGAGCTGTCATATCACACCATTCTGACCAAGGCCAGAAACAAGTAACTACACTTGAATAAACATGGATGATTTCACGGGAATGCACAGGTTTCTGCTTACATTTACCAATTAAGATTATCTTCTAATGTTTTCAGTGCTTGGAGTGCAGTCTTAATGGCATTAGTGATACAATCGCCTGGCAACAACCTCTATCCAGAAAGAGAACTCTTTCTACAACTCTCCAGGCTAACAAGACTGAGAGATGAGGTGACCTAGGAGAAATGCTGACTAGTGTTGTCAACAGATATTGGTGTTAATCCTTTTTACTTCTCCTACACTCTTAGTCCTTTTGTCTCAATTCCTTCCTAGCCTCCACTTTTCAAGTGCTGCAGGCTGTCTTCTTGTCATAAAAATCACTAGAACGGATGTCTTGAACTTTTGTTTCCACACGATTTGCTCCCTATGCTTGGTAGTGCAAACTGTTCCAGAGGGAGTGACTATTTCTGTTGGTTTGTTTAAAAGAGGGTACAGGAGACATGCTCCTTTTCCAAGTCACGTAAGACTTGGTCTCATGAACTGAGATGGGTGTTAGGATTTTCCCTGTTT